GACCCTGTCTCATAACAGGAGAGGGCACTCAGTGACATTAAAATAGAACAAATTTGCAATGATATCAAGTTATATGTTTTATGAGCCATATAATTAACATGCGACACTCAGTGCCACGGGATATTATTGACTTAAATAGCTTAGTAAGTATCAAAAAGGATTAGGCATTGACATGAAACAGAATAGCATATGCACTGACACAAGCTAGGATCAAAATTACAAGGGCTACCAATCCTTGTGCTTCAGGGCATATTTTGATCATCAGCTTGGGGTCAGGAGGAAAGCCACTCTCTAATCCAGTAGTGTGCAGTATGCATGTGGGTTATAATTATACAGATCTCTCTATTGGCCTGTTTTGATTCCTTTCCCTTCTCCTTCTCTGTCTTCCTTTCATCCCCTCCTGTTTTCCTTCCCTTGCATTTATTGTCTGGAATAGGTCACTACTGAAGACAAGACACTAAACTAGATGGATGGCTGAATCGTCTGTACTAATAGGGTAATTTAATATTTGCTTCTCTCCAGAACTCTAATGTTTATTTCAAATATAAATTTTATATTCAGTCACTAAAAAGTTCTTCTCTTTCCAACCTTCCTTCTATGAATGCTACTTTTTATTTTTATCAGCTACACCTACAAATCCACTTAGGCTCATTTGAATCATGATTTTTCAGAGGTAACAAATGAACCTCACATTGGGAGAAGGAAGAGAACAACCAGGCACATTAAAGGATCCTGATTTTTCTGGTAGATGATCAGCAATTCCTTAATTTTTTTTTTTTTTTTTTGGAGAGATATTGTATTGTATAACCAACATGAATAATCATTTAGGAAAATAAAGGGTTTTTTTTCTGTGTACATGACAGTGAGCCTGTGGACAGTCAGGGTAAAATGATGCTTGATTTAGGTAACTCTCTGCATTTTTCTTTGTAGAGACTAAAGCAAAATAATTGTTAAGAATTTTAACACTTTTTCTCACTTTCACCTACCAAAAATTTCCTCATTTTAAGATGATGCAATATTTCACACAATTCTAGAGGTTTGGGTGTTTTGTTTTGTATTTTCATTTGTTACTATACTGAAGTAGTGTCAGGAAGTCCCATGTAAGAGCAGGGCAGGGTTGAATTTTATGTCCTGTGAATGCCTGGTGAGTGCTAAGACCTACCTGGAGTTACTCACTCTGAATAGACAGGCTATTTTAAAAATATGCCTACTCATTTCATTTGTTTCTTATTTCTTTTTTTGCTTCTTGCCTTCACCCTCCCAGACTGATTTCTAACTCCACCCATTCTTACCCCTCTATTCATACGTGGCACTAGCCAATGCCTCACCGCTCAGCACACTGATAGTTGCTGCCCTTTGGCTTATTTAACCTTGCTGGAAAGATGCTATCATGCAGCTCCTCCAGCACCCTTCCCATTTTCCACAGTGGGTTGAGTTCTAGTTAGTTTCTGCGAACTCATTTTGTAGTCCATCACTCTGCTTCCCTAAAGACCAACGCTTTTGTGTTATTGCCTTCCCACGAACATTCTTCAACATGCCAAAGCTGACCTTAGGCTCCATGGACAGATGGGGCCCGATCCAAAGTCCATTAACACCACAGGAAATGTCCGTTTACGCCCATGGGCTTTGCATTAAGTTCTTTGCATTTTATTTACTTTCTTTTGTGCCTCTTACTCAGCTCCAGTTATTAAAATCAGATTAATCCCTGACATCCCTGACAGTTCAGTATACTGTATAAGCCCACCTGTGCTACTTCAAAAGATAGAGACCAAAACTGCTCCTCTGCTAATGTGAAATCAGCAGCTGGCTAATACTAAAAGCTAGGCATTACTTCCAGATTTCAATCCTGCATAACTGAGGTCAGAATCTCAGTTACTGTTCACTAGCTGAATCTCCCATTAGTAGCACACAGGCTCTCTCAAAACCATTCTTACTGTTCAGCTATTTTCTGGGCCCGACAACATTACTCTGACTAGGCACCGTTCAAGATTCACCTCTGTTTGCAGTTTTACTCTCAGTACAAGTAGGCTGCTATGTCAGCCAGAACATCAATATTTCTTTCTGTTGACACAATACTCTCTTATCCATATTGCCACCCCTCCTCCTGCTTCATTTTGTCTACATTCCTTTTGAAAACTCTACTCCCATAATTTAGTCTCCCACTCAGTACTTGGTTTAATCAAGTCTGTCACTCAATTTATATCCCACTTCTCGCTTAACACAAGTTTCTCAGTTAGCAATCTGTTTCTGTAGCACTTGCTACGCATAACACATGGTTAGTTTTTCTTTCTGTGCTTGCTTCTGTTTGCTTTCTGATTTCCAGACCTCACTTTTCCTTGTAACACTTGACAATGAGAAACTTCTTCTGACTCCCTCTTTTTATGTTCCTCGTGTTTTTACGATACCGCTGCAATTGGGGTTTCTTAAATATCATGGGGTGCTTTGTATAGGGCACAGAACAGTCCTTGAGTCCAGTTAAACCAGTTTTCAACTGCAGAATCTCAGTGCGTTTGATACATAGCTTTAGGTAAGCCTTGCCTGTTGCTGTATTTCTTTCTCATGGCTTGTACCCCTTTCCATCTTCATCATCTTTCCTCGGTTTGTAGAGATACAGGACAAACGCACAAAAGCTCAGCTTCTCTCTCTCTGGCTGCTCCTTCAGCACAGTGTGCTAAAATCTGGTCTTAAACATCCACCCTGAGTTTTTGTGTTGAGCAACAAAGCGCAGAACAGAGTCCTGTTCCAGTTGCTCTGTACATTTTAACATAGGAGACTGGATTGCATATATCTTGACTACATCACCTAGTGCAACCACAGCACAAACTTAACAGCTCACCCTTCCTCACAAAGAACATCTAATGTCATTTTGGATGGTGGAAGTGTGCTGCAGGTTGCGGATCAGCAGCATTAGCCGGCACTGCATCTAGAATCTCCCACTTGAGTTTCATGCTATCAGTCAATTCCCCTGGTAAGGACCGTGGGTTGTCAGACAGTTTTCCTCCTCCTCTGCAATTCTTCTAGCTGTTAGAGAAACTGGTGGACCACTGAATGAGGCTGTTGGAGCAGTTTTAGCTCAGCAGGAGGCAGATTTACTGGTTGGCACCTGTTGGCTAGATCATTTGTTGGTTCTCTGAATTATTCTGCTGGGTCAGCAGGTTTCCAGGTTTAAATGCTGGCATGGTGTAAGACGCAGAATGCTGTTGTTTCATAAGCACCTTCTAGAAGTATTGCTTTGCTGTAATGCTACTGTTATGTTGTCCTACTTTTGCTATCTACTTTCTGCACAGACTGGGTGAATTTTTGCCCACTGCATCACTTAGGTGTAGACTTTGCAGCACCAGGCTGGCTGCATTTAACCTGGAGATGGGGAGCGGGGGGGGGGGGGTGTAGGCTGGTGGCTGCTGTCAGTGCTTTCCCTGTGATTGAGCAACAGGATGATTTTGTAGTCCAGTCACAGAGTGGTAATGCACGGTACTTATGCGGTACTTTTCACTTTCAGATCAGTTAAATACTGTTCCTAGCTTATGGTACGCTCATCTGTCTCTCTGTATGTTCTTAATACAGCTCGCACACCCAGTCGCGCAGGAGAGGCCAGAGCAGTCCTTCCCTCCCTGGCTGGATCAGCGACTGCCCTATATAAATCTGCGTATTAAGCAGATTTGGCAATTGTTCAGACAGAGACAGACTCACTTAAGTAAGAGGTGAAAATAAACTTGCTTATAAAGGCACCGCAGACAGCACTCTCAGCTGGTATGCTATTAGAGACAGAACAGTGGCTGGTTTGTGTTCTTTTGCAGTTGGAGACTGATGATTTTTGTCTTCTGCGTTCAAGTCCCATCACCATAAACCTTACGTGTGCGCGAATGCCGGGACTCATCCTTCAGCAGTTTCAAGCCATTTAGCGTGTTACCGCTTTACCTCTGCACCAGACGGTTTATTTCCTCGGGGACTAGCCCCCGCACCCCTACCCCCACCCCCCCCCCCCCCCCCCCCCAAGGTCGGGCAGCCCGAGAGCGCTGCCCGTTCGGGAGCGGACCGGACCCAACTTTGAGGTGGATTAGGAGGATCTGGGGCTCCGCTTCCCCTTCTCGCGGGGGGCAACGCAGCGCGCCGGGTGCCCCACGCTGGGCGGTGGCCTCAGGCTGCGGCCGGGGCGGGCGGCAGAGGCCGGGAGCTGCCTCTGCCTCTTCTTTCTTCTTCTTCCTCCTCCTCCTCCTCCGCCGCCGGCCGGAGCACACCCGGAGCGGCAGGGAGGGAGCCGGGCGGCTGCTGCCAGCGGGCCGGGGCACGGAGGGCCCAGGACGCCCGGCGCTAGCCCCGCCGACGTACGCCCGGGGGAGGGCGGCGGCGGCCCCCCCACTTCTATCTCCTCCCCTCCCGCTGCACGCAGGAAGTTTATCCGGCCGCGGCTCTCCCCGGCCCGGGCGCTGCGGCCCGGGCGCTGCGGCCCCGGCCCGGCGCTCCCCGCGACGGGGAATTAGGAGAAATAGCCGCCCGGCGAGCCTGAGCGGGGGTCTCCTCCCGGCGCCGCAGCCGCCTGCGGAGCGGAGCGAGTGGGGAGGGGGCGAGCCCGCCGCAGTCTGCCCGCCCTCCGTGCGCGGGGGCGGGGGCGCGGACTGCAGTGCCCGCTCCGGCGGCCGCGGGGCGGGGGTGGAGGTAGGGGGGGAGGAGGTGGCCGCGCCCGGGCTGCAGCCCCCCGGGCGGCGGCGGCGGCGAGGCTGCGGGCGCCCCGGGAGCGCCCCCGGCGGCCACACCCCGCGGCGGGCCGGGGCCGGCGGAGGGGCGGAGGGAGGGGGCCGGCGCGGGGTGTCTCCGAGCCAGTTCTCGCGGTGCTGGCCAGGCTCAGCCTCCTTCCCCTCCCCGGCGAGCGGTGACTGTGCACGGCGGAGCGGGGAGCGCCGAGCCGGGCGCGGGGGGAGCCCGCGCCGCCCCGCCGAGCCAGGAGGGAGGCCGCCGAGCAGCGCGCCCGCCCCGGCCCGGCCCGGCCCGGCCCGTCCCGGCCGCCCTGCCCCATGCCCCAGCGGCGCTGAGCCTCCCGCAGCCCGAACATGGCCACCACGGCAACGTGCACCCGCTTCACCGACGAGTACCAGCTCTACGAGGAGCTTGGCAAGTACGGAGCCCGCTGCGCGCCCCGCGCCGCGCCCCGCCGCCCGCCCCGGCCCCGGGACCCGCCGGCGCTGCCGGGGGGAGCCCCGTGCCGGCCACCCGGCTCTCCCGGGAGCTGGAGGAGGATTAGCTGCCGCGCTGTAATCCCGCTCTCCGACCGCCCGTCCGCCCCGGCGGCATCGCGGCCGGAGGGAAAGGTGTCTCTGCGCCCCCGGGTCGTCCCCGCCGCTGGATGGGGTGTCCCCGCAGCCTGCTTCGGGCTGCGCGCTCCTGTTGCACCCCGGGATTTTCTCTGTTCCCCTTTTGCCCTCCTCAGGACCGGGCTACCGCGTTCTCCTCCCCGCACCGTCTCCCTGCTACACGTTACCGTTCCCTTCAACTGTTCCTGCGCCGGTACACGGCACTGTCACCGCCGCTCCGCGATGCTTCAGTCCCCACTTCCTTGTCCCTGTGAAAGGACCAGGTGCTGCTGCACCGCGCTTTTCCCTCCCTCTCTCCTTCCCTCCCTCTCTCCGCACTTGTCTCTGCATTGGCAGACCTGCTGCTGCACCCTAGGACAGGGCTTTGCAGGGGGACCCTGTGGGACAGGAAAGCAGCGCAGCAACGGCCGGGGTAGGATTGTGGGGACAGTGCTTAACTGGGTGCTGCTGCTCTCCCCCTCCCTCCCTTCCTGCACCAACTGCTGGGCTCTGCTGCATCTCTTCTCTCCAGCCCGGTGTCCCCGTCCCTCCCCACACTGCTGCAGCTGTGTGTCACCAAGCCCGGGCCCGGTGCTGGTGCTCACCTTGCTGCTTATTGGTTTGTATGTAGAGGTTGAGGAAGGGGAGAAAAAGGCAGGACTCTGCAGTGTTGGGAGGATTCAAGCTATTTTAGGCTCTCTGTAGGGCTAACTGTCTTCTGGAGCCCTTGTGCAGCTTCTGTTCCCCGTTCTTGTACTTTAAATATGTACGTTTGTCCACAGACACAGGTTTGTGTTCCTGGTCTGAAGGACTTGGAATTTTCTGCTAGTTTTCTCTTATTTGTCCTTTTCCCCTTTTCAGATCTTTCCCATAAAGCCAGTTGTTATTCTTTTCCCACCCTGTTTTGTTTTGAATTGTTTTTGTTTTGTTTTTTTTTTTCTTTTAAAAAAGAAGAGACCGCTTTCAAGCGCTCATCTGTGTATTCCTGTAGACTTTGAGTCCCTATCTTTTCACCTTGTTCTCTGTTGTATTATCTCTTTTTTCCTCACAGAAATCCTTCTTCCCTCTCTCAGACCTCTTCTCCAAGTGGCTCTTTGGAATAGTTGTAATAATATCAATAGTTCCAGCTTGAGAAAATGTACAAAGCCTCGTAGCTTCCTACTCACTTCATTAATAGGTACATGCTTATCCCCATTTTGCAGGTGGGTAGAGAGATGTAAGAGAACTAGTAACTTCTGCAAAGTGTTGCAGCAATTTTGTGACCGAGCTGGCACTTGAACGTGGGAGAAATGAGTCCTGGTTGTCTGATGTAACTGCTGGGGATACTGTCTTCGGGAGATGGATTTACCGCCTAGCGTTTGCAGCGTCGTTCTGGGCTGCTTGTTTCCTGTTCATCAATCCCTTCATGTCCTGTTTCTGTGCCCGTATGGTCTCTCTCTCCCTGCAGAGTGTGCTGTTCTTACTGCGCTGTTTGTGAGGGGGCTTGAGGGGTCTTGAGGAGGGTTGAGCACCATGTAGACTAGGTTGTATTTGCCGATCAGGCAGCATGCACTGTTCATCAGATTCTCATGTGTTGTTCCCCCTCCTCTGTATGTCTTCTGCCCTGTCCTTAATCTGGTCTGCTCTGGGGATAGAAATTGCTGCTATTGTATTCTCATTTTCAGTTTCACAGCTCCTACCCTCTTTATTTTTCTTCTAGGGGAGCCTTCTCTGTGGTCCGCAGATGTGTAAAGAAAAGTTCATCACAGGAATATGCTGCAAAAATCATCAACACCAAAAAACTGTCAGCCAGAGGTTAGTGTTTCGATCTACCCTTCTTCCTTTATTAATAAGAAAACACTTCACTGGAGTTGAAGCTGTAGTAAGTTTAAGGGATCTGAAGTTGCTTCTCTCAGTCATTATTTCAGTGTTACAGAATAACTGAGTTGTGTGGCAAAGAGGAGATTGAAAGGAGGTGGCGTAGGATGATAGAAAAATGCCTGTACCTGGAAATGGACACTCTGTGATCTTGTCTTTTTTATTTTTTGATATCTTTTTTCTGCAAGTTGAGCTAGAGATGTGTTTATAGAAGATTTATCTACACGTATGTGTACCGATCACTCATAATAAAAAGAAGTGTTGCAGAGTGATTCTGCTGAATGTCTTTTCTACCTAGGAGATCTGTCTTACCAGAACAGATGTGATTATTTTTTTTGAAGGATAGATGCTATACGCCTTGCTTCTTTCATGGTGCAGTTAAACCTGGTGTGTTTGGAAACGAACAAGGTTGCCTTCAAAGACAGAAATAGGTTGGATGAAGAAATCTTGTGAATTTCACTTCTCAACAAATTAGAACAAATATTTTTTGCTTTTGTTAGTCCTGGAGACTTCCAAGACTTGAAGCCAGGCTGTAGTCTTATAAAAAGAGAAAAAATCGTAACTCTTCTCCAAGCTATTGGTCTTCTGTTTTCTGGGGATCTATGTATGCAGAAAGGGTTGTGTACATTGTGGTGTGCAGGGAATGTGTGTCTTCTAGTGTGTAGGGAACCCGCATGGGGATTAAAGTTGCTTCGTGGGTGGGGTGGATGAGGGGGGAATGGGAGAAACTGAACTGCAGTAAAAGATGCTGAAAGCAGAGCGTGCAACAAGTTGAGATGCTAGAGGTGACTGTTTCTAGAAGAGGTGAACAAGACAAGATCTAGTCAGCTTTGACAAAATTAATGTCTTAGGCCCTTGACTGTCTTGCTAGTTGAATAGATGGCTTAATAGAGGTGTTGACTGAGAAATGAAAAAGAAGCAGGAGGAGATGGCAGCAAATGATCTTGATAAATGGTTAGAAGTGAAGAATGTTTTGCCTATTCCCAATAAAAGAGAAAAGTAGAATATGTATTCTCCTTTTTGCTGGAATATTAAATGTGGTGATAAGAACAGAGGACAGTTTGAAGAATGGTGAAAAATTTCCATTTACCATAATTTGCATGGAGAAGTAGTGTCAGAACTAGGGTGCGCTATGCTGTGAAGGCTGATTTTTTTTTTTTTTTTTTTTTTTTTTTTTTTTTTAACTCGTGGAAGTAAATATATGTGATAATGTGAAGTTTCGGTACCTAGCCTGAGTGAGGTCATGTTGAGGACCAACCAGTAGAGCCCGAGGTTGTTTAGGAGGCGGCTGCGGATCCTCTGAGAATTGGTGTCCCCTCCATGGTCAGGTGACAGTGCCCACTGCGGTAGGTGGGATATCCTATCTCCTGAGTTCAAAATTAGTTTAACTTTATATGGGAGAGGTTTGAAGGGTGGCTTTCCTTTGCTGATGGCCATTAATGCTGTGTTCGTTCCACATAGTTCATTCTGTAGCGAGGACTAAAGCTCAGGAGAGCCATCTTCTCAGATGCTGGTAGACACAAGCCTGCTTAGAGAAGGGAGAGGGTGGCTTGGTGAACTGATTGCAAATGAGAAACCGTTTTCTTCCAAAGGAGGTGGTATTGAAGTTATCTCTGGAGATAAGATAAATTGGGAAAACTTCAGGATGAATATAGTTGAAACAAAATTTGGAAACATATTAGAAGTCCAAAAGTAGCAGAACAACTGATTAAGTCAGTTTTTAAGTTTTTGGGCACCTAATGAGTTACAGAGGGAGCAATAGATAGATTCTAATTGTTTTTCATATTAAGGTGATGATGGTTTTATGACCCAGCAAGTAGGAAAAGTAAGTATGGATGCATACAGGCCATGTTTTGGTCTACTACTTACCTTCTACATTTCATACCTCCCTATAAATAAAATACATTGAGGGTATTAGCCTGGTCCTCAGCTACATAACTTGAAGCAACTGGCAATGATTTACTTGCAAAGGTATTGGTTATGTAGAGGGCAAGTTTGGGGAGAGCCAAGAAAGGAAATGGATGTTTCTGCTAATATGGAAGAATATCAGAAACAAGGGACTGATGGGGTTTTGTTGAAGTCTTACCAGAGGACTAAGGAATCTGCATTTATAGTGAAAAGTGGATGGTGACTTCAGCTGAATATATAGGTTCCTCAGTTGTTCCAGCTGTGTTTGCTGATAGCTCAAGTGGTTAGTGCAAAAAGGGACAGAATATTTTTATAGGAACTTACTGAATTCACCTTGGAATAGGTCTTTAAAGCACTGAAGGAAAAATGCATGCTATTTAGACATTGCAGCTGTAAATCAGTGATTAGGGAGATTGAATTCAATTGTTTCACACAGGAGGAGAATTATGGTGTTAATTCTGCAGTACCCTGGATAGATGTTGTCTGATGCTTCCTTTCCCCGAGCTGACACCTCTCCCTGGGGAGGCTGTGTCTCTGCCGGGCAGTATGTACGCACGGGACTTCCCTGCGCACCCGGCCGCGTGCCTGTCTGTCACACAGGTTAACCAACCCACCCTCCTGACGTGCCTCCTGCCTTGTTGGTTCTCTTCGAGGCTTGGTCACAGGGCCAGAATATTCCCTCATATAGGGACACCCTCCCCCTCTCCAGCTTAACCATAGCTACATTTAATATTTTATACCTTATCTAGCAGAATTTGAGCCTGTATGTAGTAACAGCATCTTGCTGTGCTGAGAAGTATGTCTAACCCACTGCTGCTTCACAGAAGTTTTGTCTGCTGTAGTGCTTCCCTTGATTATGTCCAGAAAAATGGTAACAAAGCCTTGCTCTCCTTCCGCAGTACTTATTGTTACCTTTATTTTTCAAGATTCTTGATGAAGAAATACTAGGTAGCTGGCTGGGAAGTGCTGAATAGCTTGTTGTATGTAGCTGAAAAGGAGGAAGAGGAACACTTCAGGGTGAATTGTATGCATTTAAAAGGCTCTGTATTACTTTATGTGTTTATCAAACTGTTTTCTTTAAGGCAGTAAAGAGTTGAAGAGGCGTGGTGCTGTTACAGGGCTTCTCTGTGAAAGCAAGGAGGATTAATGTGGTGCTGGCCTTTATGAAGGGCAGTCCTAACAACTTCAGTCTAGTAATCTTCACCCTGTGTAAAACATGAAGTCAGATGTTGAGAGGAGAGTCTCTGTTTCTCTATTGTCTCTGATTTTTGGATGCCTGTTCTCTCTTTTAATAAATTGTGTCACTAAAAGCTGGTCTAGATTAAAATTCATATTTCAGCTTTAATGAAGTATTCGCTGTTATGCATATTGCGTTGACACTTAGGACTACCCAGTGAGGAGTATGCTAAGAACTTTAATGTTAAATAGGGGCCAGATACTTGTGTAAAGTGAGGGGAAACAGACTTCACCTTTGTCAGTGTTCAGCTGACACATAAGAGTAGTGGTTATTACATGTGGGGGAAATACAATGCTTCAGTCATCTGAAGTTCCTATGGGATTGAATGCACAGGCTTTTATCAGAGCTATGGGTAGAGGCAAATAATAACTGTAATTTTTTGGAAGTTGTCTTGTGGGTCACCAGAATACTTTTTGAAGATGAAATTTCATAGGAAGTATTGCTTCAGTGCCTGGGCAGCAGTGAAGTTCAAATAAAGTAAAATTGCTTGCAGTGATCAAAAGGATCAAGAGAGCAGCAGTAGCTTTAGTAGCAGTAGGGAAATATCTGGAATTTGACTCTTGAGCATATAGTTTAAGAGATAGTCATGCACTGGAAAGAGGTAGGCAGAGCTCTATCGTGTGATAATTTTTAGGATGTCATTTGTTCCAAATACTATATAGTGGTCCTACCACCATGTGTAGGATTTTTGGCCCTTGTTTTCTTGGGGAGGGGAGTGGAGGTGGAGAAATCTCTGTGCATTACATTACTGTTAAATTTAATTTGCTGCTGAAAATCTGTGTCTTTCAACTCTTGCAAGTGACATTTCTTGGTGGAAAAATGAAAAACAGCTGTCTTGGAAGTTAGGCTGCTTTGCTACTTTCTCCTTATTGTGGCTTTGCTCTTGCCTCTGGAATAACGAGGTGGATTCTCTCCCTGCTCTCCATCTTTTCAAATTTGTAATCCAGATCAAAATTTGCAGTCTACCCAGTTATTTTGTTGTTGTTCCTGTAGGAGATTATGTGGATTGTGGGAGGAGCAGGGAATTACTTCTGTGTATCAAACCCTGACAGGAAAAAAAAAAAAGCTTTCTCTTTACACTTCCAACTCAGTTTTTTTTCATATACCCCTCTTCTCCTGGCTTTCAGTCCGTAATGGTTGCTGCTTGGGCTTTACAGTATGTTTTGTTGGAGGTGTCAGCAGTAGCTTCCCTGGACACCGAAATGTTGAGCTTGAATGCCGCAGAGGAAGTTTGGCAGCATCAGTCCTTGACCTCTACCTTGATCTGCTCTGTAAATGTTCTTAGCGGATGTTTGAGTTCAGACTCTCTGGGACTGCTCCTTTGGCTGCCAGGTTCGAAGTCCTGCGGAGGCTACAGCACACCTGGCTGCCTTGGATGGGCGCAGCGGGGGTGCACGGCACCCTGGCACACCGGCTCTGGGCAAGGGCAGGGGAAGCTGCCACGCAAAAGCCAAACTTGGGTGGAAATGCCCTGTAATAGGTGTCCTCTGTGCGTGCCTGTGCTTGTAGGTTCGAGACAAATGTCCTTTCGTGCAGAGGACGGCAAATCAAACCGTGTCTGCTCAGCTGTACTTGCTGAGCAGCCAAATCGGGTCTGGTCATTTGGTGTGGGAGGGGAGCTGCCCTTCCTGCAGTGTGGGCCTTGGGCTGAGCGTGAAGAGCTTCCCTGCACCCCAGCTCCTCCTCCTCCTCCCCTCCTCTGCCGCCTGCCAGGAGTCTGAGAGATGCTGTGATTAGGGAGCATGTATAGGAGATCAGCTGCAGTGATGGCTGGGGATTTTTTTGGATGTCC